CTGGTGCAGACAGATGCAAGATTGTTATGCCCATGCCAGCAGCTGTCTGGATGATACAGATTTGAGCTGGCTTGAATCCAGATAGTTCTTGTGAGATGAGCAAATGAGTTTGCCTTCCCTTGTGCCTAGAGAAGCCAGTGTGGTGTTTTGATCAAGCAATGGGGGTTTGTACCTCAGGTGCTGTTGGGGCAGAAACTTCAGTGTGATTGAGGCATTGGTCTTGCCTCCCATCTGCGCATAACCTGCTGTGCCCCTCTATAGCCCCTGTAAGCCTGCATAGGTCAYACTTCCAAGAGATGTATTCCAGCAGCCTACAGTGGTGGGAGTTTTAATGATCCTGGGATTTCGAACCTTTGCTTCTTTTGGTGTCATGTCCAGAGGTGAAAGGAGATAAAACACAGATTATTGAGTTCTTATAATGGCACAAGGTATGGATTTTCCCACTGATGTTATTCCTGCTTGCCTACTCTGTCACTCATGATTACAAGGTCATTGTGGTGGTAGTCCAGAACTCCCAGCTCTCCTTCTTCCCGGATGGTAGTGCAGCCACTGTCTCCCAGATAGAGGAAGGTCTCTCGTGAAGGACGAAGTTCAGCTTTCTCAGTGCTTTTTAGATAATTTGTGCCTTTACTGGATGATTTTCTTCAGTATTGTAACAGGCTCAAAATTTCTGCAAGTGCTCCTTGGCCAGCTGCTGTACCCTCCCTGTTGGGCACAGAGCACAGGGCAAAGCCCGGTGTACAGCTTTGGCAGGCAGCGTGCTGGGGCTTCACCACATTCCTTCTCTGTGTTCTCCATGTTCTTGAAGGAATCTTTCCTTGCTGTGCCCTTTTCCTGTGCTGTCCACTGTCATGACCATGTTCTCAGGGTACMAAATGCATTCTTCACTCCCGGTGCCCCCCATCTAAAGTCCTGCTCTTCATAGGGTAGCGTAGTTCATCTATTTCTGTCCCTTGTCTGTACAGTCTGTTGTATGTGCTGGTGATTGCTATGCTCAGCTACTTCATTTACAGCCTCAGGAATGTGAGAGGCCCTCAGAAAAATGCCAGMGGCAAGAAAGTATTTGGAAATTCCTGGAGGCAGTGAGCTTTCATAGAGAAGATATTATTTTCACCCAGCAGGAGCAGCAATGACCAAAATTCTCAGTTGTGCTAAACTTGAAGAAGAGGAACAACATAAAATGTGAAAGCAGATGTTAAACGTAAGTTGAAAGCTGCAACAGATAGAACTCAGTTCCTATGTACCCCCACCACAGAGGCTTCGTCCATCCCACTCCCTCCAGGTGAATCACAGTTGGTGTGGAAAAATCTCAGAGACATAAATGCTCCSTGCCTTGGGCTGTCAGAACAAACTTTGGAGGTGCAGGTGTCCAACAGTGTGGTATTTGGCTGATCCCAGCTTCCACAGCCCTGACAGCACTATGAGGACTGCGAATAAGGTTTCAAATTTAAGCTGTCTGGTATGAGGAAATTCCAGAGTTGAGCACATTTATAAGCATGTGATACTATCTTTTATTTTAATTGCATAATCTTCTGTTCTTTTTTTTTCCAAATCTGTCTAGATTTGCATCAAAGTGCAAGTGGTGTGATTTTCCAGACTATTGGCTGGAATAACCTGCCCACCTTATGGAGCATTACATAAATGCTCTCAGAAATTCAGACTTCTTGTTCCTCAGATCTCCAAGCTGAGGCCCTGGATCTTACAGCCTGAGTGAGATCTGACTCAGAGAGAATGAGATTCCCTAATGAGTACTTACAGCTGCAACCACAACTAATGACAGCTGCATTTTAAACTTCAAGATAAAATGTTAAATACTCTGGAAAATCAGATACTGAAGACCTAAAGGCAGTGGGTACTCTTAATTTACCTAACTGTCAAAATCCCATTTATAAAATAGAAAAATAGCCCACAAAACACCCTCATATTGTCAGGGTGCATTTTTTAGCCTACACCATACTGATTAATACCATAGGAAAATGGTGACTCCTGGACAACTCATATTCCTATCTCACAGGATGGAGAACATTCAAAGGTAAAAGACTTCCAATTGGACACTCAGTGATGAATTGCCAGGAAAAAACTGTCAAAGATGGCATGAAAGAAAACATTTCTAAGGCTGAGATTTGACAGCATAACACCAAAAGGCAATTGCACTTGACCATCTTGAAACCCCTGTGAACACTTAGAAAGTTCAGCAACAGCAAGAAGCTAGAGGAGATGAGTGTTTGCAGCTCTGTCCTGCAGACTTGGCAATGAGAAGGAACTAAGTGGCATTCACATCGCAGCAATTTTTTGCTGTAGGGTAGAAACATGCTGACATTAAGTTGCAGAGTCCCAGAGGATGGAACTGGCCAGAAGATTTAAACCCGAAGGAAACCATGCACATCACTTTTGGGACAATACACCAGTCATCACTCAAGGAAAAAACTGCTTCTCAGATGAAATCACAGTCAGTCTTTATTGCCTATTGTTGGGAGTTAAATAGCTGTTTTTCTCTAATGAGAAGTCATGAGTGACTTTTAGGGCTTTCCCCAGGAAWGGATTTCAGGAGGAAAAGCTAAGTCATCTGCCTTTCCCTGGGTATATTTGGCAAGCAAGTCAGACTACATTCTTAGGATTTTTAAAACATTTTTTATTAATTTTTATTCCTTTTGACATGTTTTTGTAGTAAAAGAACAGAGAATTAACATATTACAATGCATATAGACTAAAGTGCTTCAACAAGCTACTTCAACCCATTTTCTTTCTTGCACCATAGCTATCTCTCACTGAAAAATGGAAGTTTCAGGAATTATAGCTCATTAGAAAAAAACWCAAAGCCTCAGACAAACCAACTGTGAGCATGTTTTAAGACTCTTCTTCTAAGTCTCAAAATTCCTTACAAGTAAAGGAATGAATGCAATCCCTATTAATGAATAGAAATTATTTTTAAAAYAACTAACAAACTGTGTTGACTCAAAGCATCCATCTTCTGATACAGCTCATCAGCCAGGCATGAGAGCTGGGTTATGTGTGCATTCCTGTTGGACTCCTCTAGAAAGGAGAATGGAGTAGTTCTTTTATGGGAACTGGGGATATGGCAATCAGAAGTGGAGCTACACCAAGACTTTCTGATTTGCTAAAACCTCAGTGCCTGGACTAACGAGAAGTTTGCTTTTACCCCAGTATTTTCTGACAAAGTRTCTCACTGTCTTTGGGCTGTTCTCCCAAGGCCTGAATGAAAAGGGAGCAAAAGGAGTAATTAAAATTTTCTTCTTTTGTTTTTCTCATGCTTAAAAAAAGCTTAGAAAAGGGAAAGCTCAATAATAATAGAGGCAGCCAGCTTGAAGGATTCAAAATTGGATCCAATGGATCTTTTCCCAGAAAGAAGAGGTCAGACTGAGAGGGTGGAATTAGGATCATATGTAATAGGATGGTTTAATGTGAGGGAAAGCACAAGAGTATTGCCACAGGAACATGCACATTTGACTGCAGAAGGAGAGGGCTAGTACATGAGCTGGAAAAAAAATGAAATCAGTTCCCTGTAATAAAAGCTAAATAAAACATTTACATAAAGAACACTTAGGGAAAGAAGAAAAGCAATAAAAGGTGAGAAAGGCAGGAGAAATTGGAAGTGAGTGGAAAGGACAGACTGCCTCTGCCCAAGGAAATAGCTGTGGGCTGCAATTAGCTAAATGGTACACGACTTCTGCGCTGTGATAGTGCTGCGGTTCTGAACCACTCTGTGGTTTACTGCTGTGTCTAATGGAAGGAGTGCTGAACAAAAAAAAAAGCTGTACTCTGGACTGCCAACAGGAATTAATTTYCTTTAGCTTTTGGTGCTCAGGCTATATTTTAACTGAAAACTGCTAGCTTTTATTTCTGGAATAACAGTAGCGGATAACTATAGCACCGCCATGGATTTATAGCAATACTTTATGCGTGGGGATCAATCGTTTAGGCAGGATTTGCTCTCCTCTCCACAATCACTCCTTGCTCCCATGAAAATGTTCAGWGCAGGAAAGATAAGATAGGGGGAGGCTGCTCTTATGCAATGAGGCTTCTCAAACTAAAGGCAATGATTAAAAAATTCCACCTCCTCTAATGACTATTATGTAGCTACAATAAACTTGCTCCTTGCCTCCAAACRAGCCAAAATCCCTTCCTTGATGCCAGAGCTGTAGGGAATCATGGTTCCTTCCCCAAACATTTAAGTGGTTGCGGGTGCCTCCCCAGTTGGCAGCAGTCAGGCTGCCAGAGACCAGGAGACACAGATCGATGGGGTTAARTGCTTGCCTGCATGTACACATCCTACCCTTGCCCTGCCTCCCCGCTCGCTCTGCTCTTACTTCTCTCTGGGGACACCATTTGCCTGCTTCTCCAAACAAGCTACAGGGCTTGATATTGCCAGGGAGTGAGGAGAGAAAAGCCTTCCTGTTTATCAGGGCAGTGTGAAGGGAGACTTGTCCCATGCTAAATACAGAGAAGGAGCAATTCCTGCAGTACCATTTTCTACTGGATGTGGCGGGCTCAGTCTGGTGACAGATTGTAAGGATTCTCTGTCTTAATCAGCAGCGAGCACGTCCTGGGGAGCAAATGTCTCATGTRAATATGTATGGGCTGGGGACAGTGCAAGTGTCATGCAGGGCTTCCCATTAAAGGAGGGGAGACAGCGCCATTTAGAGTGCTTCTTCTTTGGAATTGCAGCCACAAAGGAATGAATAATAGGATTAATTCACTTAGCTATTGATCTCAGACACACACGTTTACGTTTAACATTATGAGAACAGCCAGATTCTCATGGTTCATAGCTTGTGGGCAGTACAGCAGAGACAGCATTTGCAAGCCCTTTCCCCCGTTTGCCGATGAGGTAAATCTTAGCAGGACATTCCTTATGGTGAGCGCCTGGGGAAGGATTGCCTRTGGAAAACAGCCTAATGTCTGGAATGGTGACTCTAATGCTGTTTTCTACAGATGTACTCTGAGCAAATGATTGGTAGCCCAAATAACAGGCATGCCTAGATATGGAAATTCTACATAGAAAGCTGTTAGGGAGGGAAGGAAGAAAATGGGCTGATCTAATTAGRTCTGGACATACATGCACACAGTATCTCAGCTAATCAGGGAAAAATACAGCCTCCCTGTATCACCATTAACATTGCAGATCTGTGACAGTGAGAGAAGAAAGAACATGGTGCAGGGAGGCATTAAGACATTTTCCTGTAGTTTCATCACATGAAGCATGGGGTCTGCTCAGGGTCCCAAATAACTTTGCCAAATTAATCTGCAAAGTATCTCATAACTAGCTCTTACGAAACCACCCTGCCCATTAGCAAGTGGATGCAAGGGCCAAAAATAAGCTTCAAAGGTGGTGAAGACCATGCTGGSATCTGTGGAGTCACCAGGTGACACCAGTAGAGATGCTGACACCTTAGATGATCCCAAACTGGGCCAGCTCGTGCAGTTCCAGGTGGCTGAAAGCTTCCCATGGGCAAATCACTGTGATATCTGCAGAAGWGAGAAAATGAGAAATGGGTTCTTGTCAGTGCATCCTCAAATTTATTTTTTATTAATGGAAAGGTTGATTTACTCAGGAAATATTAACAAGAATGAGACTCCACTTGAAGGTTAAATGGGCAGATGAGCATTTCAAACCAGACCAAACCAGATCAGTGTACTTTCTCTCTGTGAGCAAAAGCAAGCTAGCATTTCCTAGTCTCTTCAGTGACCATGCAAACCAGTGTAAAAATCATTCCAGTTACGTGGCTTCTCCTGTTCTTATCAATTACCTGTAGCCAAAGTGTGAGCTCCTCAAAGACATGTGCAGTTTTAAATCAGAGGCTGAATAATTTGGCCTACAATCTTCAGAATCCGTAACTCACTTGTTATCAGTACCTACGAGGTTCTGACTGGCTACAGCTCATCCAATGCATGTTTCTCAATCCCAGATGGGTACATAAAATTGTTAAAATTAGGATTCTGATGACAACACAAATCCTTAACCATCTGGGATTTAGTTTCTGTGATTTTTGTTATTAATAGCTTAGCATTTAGCAGTTCTTTCAATGCTGCTGAAATTCTTGGCCAGACTATGAACAGAAAACAAACAAGCACTTCTGCAGCCCRATGTAAGTAGTCTGAAGCTGAAGCAAGCACAAATGGCCTTTCCTTTTTGTAGTGTATGTAACCATAACACAAATGTGACAGCTTGGGGAGGTAGAACTTGTCTTCTCTGGTGACCCTGAGAGCTGCAGACAGGCCAGGGAAACAGAAGCCACCTCGGAATCCTCTCCCATGACGAAGTTTGTCAGCGGTTGTGCTAAAGCAGGGCATGACAACAACATCCTGCAGAGCTTACCTGTGCCCAGTCCCTCCATGCCTGGAATGTCATCTCCAAACCTAGGAGAGAAAAGAGCAGGTAAGGAGTGAGTTTGGGCCAGCAGCAAGGAAAGATGGGAGATGTCCTAAACCACCACCCAAGGAAGAAGAACTGTGGGAGCAGAAGAGAAGCAGCTCCAGGTTGGAGAGCTGATGGTACCAGGGGGCAGGGGAAAACCTTCTGTCTCCTCACCCAAGGGAAGATGGTATCACAGAAGCACAACTTAGCAGTGAGGAGCTATTCAACTAGCATGGTTTATTTTCTTTCCAAAATCCCCTTACCCTCTTACTCCTTTTTTGGGGGGCTTGCTCTTGAACTGCCTTGTCTGCCTCTGCTTGAACTTGGGAGGCCCCTTGCGTGGTGTGGCGGGACCAGTTGGAGTCTCTGTAGTGTTGAGGTTGGCAGCTGGGGTCTCACTCATCGCTGGGCTGTGTGCGGCAGGCACGCGCCTCTCTCAGATCCCTCTCTCTGCAAGAGAACAGCAAGGACTGTCACAACACTCTGCTTATCTTTTCTGGCTATCGGCAGTCCGTTGGCAGAATTATGGAAAATATAATTGCAACAGGATTAAAGATAATAGTGTTAAAGATAAAGAAAGATTGTAATGTGTACAAGTTAAGCGGCATAGCAGTGCCTCTCATCTGGCATGCGAGAATTAAGATGCCAGACAAAGGACACTTGAGCTAAGGCCAAAAAGACACTTAACCCCATGGTGCAGTGCCTTGCAGAGTCATGGAGACTGACACCTTCTTCTGTCTCAAACAGCTGGACTCTTGGAGACAGGTTGCTGCARAAGCTTGCCCCACTGTTTAGGTAAAATAGGAAGTTTAATACCAATGYTGTTTTTTTTCAAGCTAGCCTTGGAATAGCATTGATGAAGTTTTTACTTAATGGTTACGACGTGACTGCTTCAGGAGTCACAAAGACACATGTATGGCTCAAAGAAATATCCTGTATTTGGGAATCATCATGACACACTTCACCTATTCTCACACTTGTGCCTAAGCATTACCTTTTGAACACTGAAGAACATGGGATGCTGAGCTAGATGGGCCCTTTGGGTGGAGCTGCAATTAGGGSTCCACGTTTGTCAATACCAAACTTACGGGAAATAGCACAAGATTGTTGAAAGATTATAAACAAAGGAAAGGCAAAGCACTGGAAACTCTCTTTTAGGCAGAAGTTAATTTCACAAATTTCTCAGAATTTAAAAGAGTAAAGCCTGTAACTTTCCCCAGGATGTGTCCATTTTGATATTTTTGAGCCTTATTTTACACATGCTGACCCCTCTTCACCACATGATACATAAGCCAAACTCCACTTCACAGGGACTAAATWGTTATCAGGGAGCAATTTCTGTTTGGGAGGCATGTSTCCTGTCTTAGAGGGCAAAACTGCWGCACTCTGAGCCRTTTGCTTCCTTCCCAGAGAGGACAGCAATAACTCTCACCAGTGCCCAAAGGGAAGCTTCCAGTCCTTCATTAAATTTTGTGCTAATTCGTATATTAGAATGGTCAGAACAAGTGCATTTATGGATAAAAATAAATGCAACCTTTTTCCCTATTCCTTGAAGTCACGTTCTTCCCCATAACTGTTACATAAGTCCTATCTCCAGGTGTTCATCCCTGTGCATCCAGGCTGATGTAATCACTGATGGAATTGAAAGGAATGAGAAGGGAGTGTCTTTACAAACAGACTCTGACTCTGGGGTGAGATAAGGCTGATATTGGGAGATAGAAAGATACAATAGGAAGGATTTGCATAGGAATTCTACTGATTGGCTTATCCCAGACTATGTTAATAGACTACCTGAGCAGAGACACAGAGATGTATATTGAAAGGGGGCAATGTATGATAGAAGGGGGGTTTCATCAGGTGTTTCGGGGAGCCTGTAACTTTCAAGTACCTCAGCCAATGGGGAAAGAGAGAGGGGATTGAGGCCGGGAAATTGGGATAAAAAGAGGCTGCATCCTCTTTGAATTTGAGAGACCCCATGGGAAATGCCCATGACCTCTCCCTTTATTCATGAATAAAGTTGCGGGACTCCTCTGTCTCCTTTTTGGACATAAACCTCTGGTGCTTGTGGATTAATTTTCCTAACAGAATTAACTTCAGCATTTGGTTCTAAAGCCTAATCTCATTAGGTCGCCATAGTACTCTGGCTTAATCCCTAACATCACCTGTAGTGACACTGTGGACTTTTAATCTCAGAACTATAAATGCCATCAAAGATTTTTTTCCTTAGCCTAAAGGGAGTTCATTTCCTTGTCCTAAAAAGCCAGAGTGCTGGGAAGCAAATCCTGAGATACAAGGAGAAAGATCATCTGAGCAATCCTGTGTCACTTCCCCATGAATGCAAGGTGAAGAGCCATATTTCTGTATCTGTAGCAGTCTGGAAATGCTTCACCCAGGACATCATTCCATCTGTGGTRGCAGTAGGATGGTTCCAAATGACAGCACCTAGAGGCAGGCTTGTTCTTCTGTTGCTTGTGGTCAGGCTTCTGTCTCAGCTGTAAAATCCCAAGCAGGGGACTGGACAGGTTCCAGCAGCCCCAAATGGAGCAGCAGATGGTTGTGTCTGAAGCTGAAGTATGCACAGATGCTATTCCCCCGCGTGTAACACAACGCTTCCTAAGCACACACTGTGCCCACAAACACAGGGATCAGCTCAAACCGTGGAAGTTACTTATTTGGCTGCCATCTCTGCAGCGCCTGAACAGTTGCCCAGTATTTACAGCTTTTTTTTTTTCCTCACAGCGTGGTGGCAGAACAGGCAAACACTGTCACCTTCTTCTTTTACAGAAYGAGAATGGAAGTGCAGTGATAGGTATGACCTGGACTGCACTGCTAGAAGGAGAGATGAAATCTTTTAACTCAAGGCTTTTTAGGGCCTAACTGAGAGATGAAGGCATTTTGTCTCCAAAACAAAGACAGAATTTGGTGCCCCCCTGTTTCTCAGGATGGGAGGAATTCCGACTATACTGCCCTACAACAAAATGCTTTGCATCACAAAGCTGCTCAATAACGTGTCTGCTAAGGTGCAGAAATCTGTTACTATGCCTCTGTCTCCGGTGCAATTTATCAGTAGATTGTCTGTCTCAGTGCTACACCCCCACTCTGGAACTACAGGGGACACACATCCACTTTTAAGCASCATATTAGTCTAACATCCGAGTCACTTGCACCCCTCTCAAAGGCTACTCCCAAGTACAACAGAAAAAACAAACCAGCTAATAGATTTCCATCCCTTAAGACTGACATCCAAAACTTGAAAGATGCATTTAAGCTCCATCTCTGACTGAATTCCTGCCCTGCTTCAATAACCTCTCTTGTCTACTGGCAAGTTACCTTAATCATAAGTATGTCTTTGAGGGTCAAAACTTCTTCAGTCCTTGAATCCACTCCTTGTCCCTGACCTTCACTCAATAGAGAAATAGCTAATGGGAAGATTCAGCCCTTGAAGTTTCTTTTTCCCCCAATCTGAAGTACTTATATCCATCTACCAGGTATTCAGTAAACCAGGATTTGGTAGGAAAAAGCATCTGCCCAAATCACACCTCATCGTCTCTCACCTGCATGAATTCAATAAAGAGCACTCAATGAAACTTTTGATTAGGGGACAATTGTCCCTTCTAAGATGAGGGACAATTCTAACTTCTCTCTTACTGACCTCCCTCTACTTCTTCTCTCCATTMATCCCAAAAAAAAGGACAGAGGCTGGAAAGCAACCTTAATTCCATATAACAACTTCCATCTTGCAGCAGGAATCCAGCTGCCCTCCCCCCACGGAGCTGGGGGGACTCGCCATCATTACAAAGATTTCTTCATTCATGCTGGAGTGGGCCCTGCCCCACAGCATGGAATCTGCCCCAGTTCCCACACCTTGGGAACAAACTGCCTGTACACACAGCCAGACAAGCACTCCAGGATCACGGATACAAAAGAAATGTCAGCTTCCTCCCATGGGAATTTCACAGSCTTTTGTCTTACCGTACTTGGTTACTTGGATAGTCCTTGGTACCAGATCAAACAGGTGGCTTGACAGTTTTGAGTCTCCTTTAGATCTCTGCAGGTGCTATGCTGCCTCCTCCCAGTGCTTTCTGGRCTGCCAGAGCTCTTTTGCTTGAGCCAGAAGCAGCACGCAGCTCCTGGGCAAGAGCTGATGGCTGTGGAGCAAAGACTGTTGAGGCTTTAGATCCTCTGCCATGCACTTCCTCTGCTCCCTCCTCTGATGAGGTGTTACCTAATTGCCCCTGACAGCACTTCTGCTCCGTCCAGGGCTTAATTCTTAGGTAAGAGCTTTGCCTGCATGTGAATGCTAATTATACCTAATACGCATTAATGAGCTTATCACTGTTGCGTCAGAAATCCCACCTCTGGGTTGTTGGCCAGATTAATCATCCTTCTTTTAGTTTCCTTTAAATCCAAAGTGGCTTGAATGCTACTGACAAATGCTGACTCTTTAATCTGCCCCATCCTTAATCTCTGATGCTCTGTGGAAAATGTCTCTGGCAGATGATGTAGATGCCTCACTCGATCTTCTTCAGCCCGTTTTGGTGTAGGGACTCATCTTCCCCTGTTCACAACTTTCATAAAAACAGATTCCTCCATGAGCAATTGTTATGCTGCTCCAGGGGTGTCAGACACAGAACCTCCATAAACTGTGGCCCTCCATGCAGAAACTCTTCTRCAAATACACAGAAACCAGGAGGAAATATCCTTGTTTTCACATTTACAGGCTCCGTGCAGATTTTGGCCTCGTGAGAGCCACTAGCATCATCCTTTCAGGGTTCATCAGGGAGTTTTGAACCCAGTGCCTTTGAGGAGTCTCATCGCTTCAGTCGCAATTGCTTGAGGTGGCTAATCATAGAGATGGCAAAGAGTGCATGCAGGCTCAGCCCTTTCTGCTCCTGTATCTTACACAGGATTTCAAATCCTTCATTCTAGCAGCAGTTATAARACCAAGAACACGTGAAAGAGAATGCACTCTAAAAGACAGAAACTCATTTCCAGTASAACTATATTYCCAAATGGGGGTCATTAAAAAAAAWTATCCCAGTTGAAAGAAGGGATTCATTAGCAGCAGAGGTACAGCATCACATTATAAACTCCCTACATGTGTGGCTGGGCACTGGGGCAGGAAACCYATCCCAGCTGCCCATCCCAGCTGCTCCTCTGGAGCCCCCCAGTGCTGGTCAAASCCAGGCTCAGCCAGCTGAGGACAAGCCAAGGAAGTTCCAGGAGCCCAACTGAGGGGTACCCAGCACGAGGAATTGAGTGGCCCCTGCTCATACAGCTTTGAGAGCAGCCACTGCTGCAGCACCTGCCCTAATGTCAGAGGAAACAGAAAACAACCACRCGAGAATCATAGCTCCTTCTCCTASCTACTGGACCCATTCATGCCCTCTAAGCAGAAATATCCACAATTCTCCCCCATGGAGTTTTACCTGGATTTTTCTCTCC